CCCCTTTACTTGGGAAAAACGCAGATTTGTCATGTTAACAAAGAAACCTACAGATTTTGTAGTTTTACAAAAATCTCTGCAGGCTGGCAGAGTTCCAGCCTGCAAGGGGCTGGGGTGGAGAGCAGGAGAGAGGTGGTCAGGCAGGGGGCACTACGTGCAGGTACATGCACATGGTCGCCAGGCAGCCTGGAGAACAGCTCTCACAGATAAGTTGTGGGGGAGTGGGGATTGAGGCCCAGCTAGGGGGTGCTTGGGGCCCGAGGCCAGAATGCACAGCTGCAGGGCCTCAGCAGGGAATGGGATAGGGCTTTGGGCAGCTCATCTGGGGGTGGGGACCCTGCTCCCCACTGCTGCACTCACTTCGGGGGCGGCAGGGGGACCCATGCCCCCCAGACCTGTATGTGGGCTAGGTGTGGGCTGCCCACTATCTAGTGGGGATCCCCACCCTGCTGCCCCCAGCAGGTGCGATCCAGGAATGCAGGGCAGGGTGGGGCAGCCTGGGGAAACTCCTTGCCTCTGTGAGTTCTGTGCTGCCCTGGCAAGGCATCTCTTGCCCGTATGGCAGCAGTGGTATCAGTGGCACAGGGCTGTGCCTGCCCCTCACTGCTGCCACACAGGCAGGGGATGCCTCGCCAGGGCAGTGCAGCGCTCACAGTGACAAGAAGCTTCCCCACACAGCCCTGCTCTACCCTGCAGCACCAGGTTGCACCCATTGGGCTGTGGGGGCCTGTAGCAGGGCACTAAGGTGCCTGCTACTGAAAAACAGTAGTATGGGCTCAGCTGCTGGTTTCTAAGGGTGACAAGGAGGAGCTAAGGGCCAACACCTGGTGGGTCAGCTGACCGGAATGGGCAGGGCTGACCACCATAAAACAGAGACAGGAGGCTATGGGTGCTTTCTCTTTCTCCCCCTCTCTCTCCTGACTGGCAGCTGGATCAAAAGGGTATGGTTAGGCTGAGGAAAAGAGCTTCACCCTGAAAAGGAAAAGAAGGAGAAAGGCCTGGAGGTATAAGTCATTAGTTATGGGTGCGATATGGTGTGGATTAGAGAATGCTCGTTGGAGAGAATGCTTTAGCCAGGAGGCTTATGTTTGAGTTGCAGCTGATTGGCTTGTGTTATTATGTTGGTTGTTTGTGTTTATTGTTTACCAGAGGATTGGGTGAGGCTGTAGGGGTTGGAGGAAGCTTCATAGGAGCTCCACAGTAGCGTGGGGTTTCCTGGTGCCGGAGGGGGTGCAGTCTGAGGGCCAGGCATGGCTATGGCCACCTGAGCCTCGATTGCAGGAAGCTCCAGGGGGCCGCAGGCGAGGCGAGGCCCCAGTGCGGGTGGGAATTGCGAGGGAGTGTCTGTGGGGCGTGGGTAACTGTGAGAAGCCCCAGAGGCAAGAGGGGGCAGCAAGAAGCCCCAGAGGTGAGCCAGGGGGCGCCCATGAGGGCACCAAGAGAAGAGAATTGACTAGACAACGTCCAGTACATCTGTGAGGCTTGGGGCGTGGTATCAGGGGTGGTAGGAGCCACGCGTAGCCCTAAGGCTAGAGTGCACCAGGGCAACCAGGACAGAGCACTGGCCAAGATACACCAGGGCATTGTGTCAATATAGACAGAAAAGGCAGCCTCCCCTAAACACTAAGAACATCAAAGATGTGGCAGGCAAGATGGTGAGGGTGCATGGTGACACCAACTTGGCACGGTAGGGGGTGCTAGGGAGTTCACAGCACCCCTAGGTCCCATCCTGTCACAGGGCCCCAAAGGAGGGCAGCAGGGCAGGGAGTCCAAGCCTACAGTGAGCAGCTGGCACCCACCCCTGCCCCAGGAGTACATGCAGTGGCAGGGAGCCAAACCCCACCCCTCGAGTCTGCAGTGGGCAGGCAGCCTGGGAACGGGGAGCCAAGCTCTGTGCTCTGCCCTGCTGCAGCAGCCACTGCCACCTGTGGGTGGCAGCCAGGGCTTGGGTGCTGCTGGAGGGGCAGAGGGCTGCGGACCTGGGTCTATGGCCCCATAGCTTTGGCAGTTGGGGGCCCCTTCCAACAGGGTTGGGGAGACGGGGCTGTGGTGGGGACCTAGGGGCACCAGCAGGGCTGGGGCACTGGGGGGGGGGGGGGAAGGGGGGGCCACCGCGGCCCGGGGGGGTG